AGATTTTCTAAAGAGGTATTCTTAGAGAGGCAACTTTTGGCAATCCTCTTTGGAGCTTCAGAAAAGTATTTTGTCTGGGTGAAAAAGCTCGAATGATTCACAGCGGGGACCCGGGGACACTTCAGAGCCATGAAGAGACGACTGATTGAATATCAGACACGTTAGAGAAGCTCAGTCAGGAGTGAAACACGATGACACTTTGATTGATTGATTTTTCTTTAATTTGTCTCTGGAACTTTACACAAGTTTGGTGCTAAATATATATAAAAATATATTTGATGTATTAATGTATAAAAAGTATGACTATGAAATGACACAATGCAAAACATATACTGTTTAAATTAATGTTCAGATGAGACGCTTCAGTTCTTCTCTTGGCCGCCTTGTGGTGTTAGACCCTCAGTCCTGGTGGAGAGAGAGAGAGAGAGAGAGAGAGAGAGAGAGAGAGAGAGAGAGAGAGAGAGAGAGAGAGTTCTTCAATGAAAACATGATATTGTTCATATTCACAGGTAGAAACAATGGAGGCTTTCTAAGATCACTTTTCTATATACACAGAGAAAGAGAACTTTTGAGCATCTAAAATCACTTCCCTGACCTCTTATCTCACTCTGAACTTTTATAACTTCTCTCTTTGTCTGAACCAGATCAGCTCTAAACATCGACAAACATGAGACATGACGTGTTTAAAACATTCACACTTTATTATTTAGACCTCGTTCAGAGCAGCTTTGAGAGACTTCAACTCTCAAACACCACAGTAGAGCCTCTTAATAAATGTTTTAAATGACCAACTGAGGCCTTTGTGTATTTTATATATGCTTAAAAGTTTTTGTGCCTTAGGTTTGTATATGTTCATGTATCGTAATGCAGGAGAACCATCAAACTCTGACCAGCTGCAGAGAAACTGGTCCGCCTGTATCTCCACACTGTTGGCTTTGTTTTGTCTCTCGTGCGTTTGTTGTTCATTTTTTTAAGTGTTTTTTAAAAAACCCTTCAGGGACGGTGTTACGCGCGGCCCTTCTGAGCATTTGGGTTAATTAATTTTCTGTTTAATAAAGCTCGGGGTTAAACACTCTAATTTGTGTGGCGTCAGTCTCCATTTGTTGGCAGCCTTGGTTTCATTATATTCTTGATTGGGAGGCTGTAACAGACCGGCATGGCTAATTAGCTCAGGCTAGGAGTGCTGTAGTGTGTCGCTGTGTTTACTTGCTTCATTATTGTCCCTGTATACATTTAAACATTAAATTAATAAATAAATCAGTTTTATATTGTAAGCGTTATTTTGTCCAAACAGCAGCGCTCTCCTCATGAGGTCACTAATCACTTTTAAACTTAATATTGGCATACTGGTGGTTAACATTTCTTTGACTTGTTAAAAATGTCTATAAATGTTCAACAAGACAATATAAAGAACTGTTACTCAAGAAGAATCTCCACACAAAGAGATCATTTCTGTGCTGAGAGAGACAGGAAATGTTGGGAGGAGAGAGTGAGGGGTGACATGCAGCAAAGGGCAGAGGTCGGATTCAAACCCAAGGCTGCTGCAACAACGTACATCATGGTGAGCATCATAACCACTAGACTAACCGACGCCACAGACCCTGATGTCATTTTCCACTCATAAATACATTTCTTAATGTTATATCCTTTTTATAAATATAAATGACATGTGAGTGGACGCCTGTGAAAACTATCTTTGTAAATATTAAGTTTCAATGTACTTCCTGTCACATGACATTGTTGAGTTCCTGGTCCACTTCACCTGGACAACAACAAACCCTCCGAAGAAAAGTCGTTTTAATTTAAAAATGAAACTTTTTTTTGTCGTCAAACAAAAAACGTTCTTATCATGAAAGTCTCTAGAATCACTTCCTTTGTCCGAGCAGCAACTATTGATGTTGGTGGGTAAATGCCAACAATGTGAAACAACACTTTGGAGGTTGCTCATATCTTGTCCAATTTTAATTAAGGACTTCCTCACTTTCTAATTAACCCGTGATGCCCCTGTGATTATTTATTTTTTACATGATAATGAGACGTCAATCACAGACTTCAGCCTGGCAGACGGCCTTTCTTATTAACGCGAGATAAAACTCTAAAACACAAAGGCACATTGTCATCCATCAAACATCTGTCCAGATGTGACTGTGTGGAGCTCCGTGAATCAGACAGGTATTCATGAACCAGCCGAGTGAAAGGACGGAGCTCCAACGCTTTACTGTCTGCACCCTCGTCAACACATCTGTCTACAGAGAAGACACCGTGGTAATTAAAGTGCACACACACACACACACACACACACACACACACACACACACACACACACACACACACACACACACAGTGGGCTGGTGGTTGGATGGGTGGGGGCTGGAGGTTTAAAGAGAGACAGAAATAACCTCCTGGGTTGGGCTGCATTCCTTTGCTCCTGACGACTCTAAATAGTTTACACACCGAGAAGTGACATGTTAGAGATACCGTGCATTACTGTGTGTGTGTGTGTGTGTGTGTTAGTTTTTGAGGCTGTATATTCAGGGCTCTCTCTGGGTCTGTTGGTGTGTTTTTGTCAAGCGGCACGGCAGAGACTGGGTGTGTTTGATTCACTCATCTAGACACACCCATAAACAACCACAACAAGTGGACTACAGCTGGACTCAGACTTTTGACATTATTTTTTAATCCGCTGACTCTCCTGCAGTGACTGGTGTTTATTTGAGATTTTAGCCACACCTCCGTTGCTTTTATAACCTCTAAAAGTACATTTCAACTTTTGCTTAGCCTTTGTTCCATTGGATGTTATTTCGCTGTGAATGAGTGAGACAGTTGTTGAATGCGGTCTAACGTTGAGAGTCGCCTCACAGTTTAAACCTGCAGCAACACTGCACACAAGTGTCAGAAATCTGCAACTGCAACACAACGCCCATACCATCCCAGAGGAGGAGGAGGGACGTTGTAGAGGAAGTGGAGAAATCAACAGGAAAAATGTGCTTTGAGATCTGAATGTGTGCAAGAAAAGCGCAAAATTTAATAAAGTGTGTACAGAAAGTGGCAGCTGGTTAAAGCTTCCTTTAATGTTTTTTTGTAATTTGGATCTGGAAGTCTAACAGAGTAAAGTTTGATTCTTGGATCAGATTTTGAAATTTGAAATTCATTCAGGAAACAGATTAGTATACTTTCAGAATAAGAGGTCACTAAAGATCAAATTGGACAATCTGAAACAAACTTTCCTAATTTTAAAACATTCAAGAAAAAGTTTTACATGCATGTAAAGGTCTACATCAATTTATTCTGCCAATAGAAAATAAAGTTTGAGTGTGTGTGTGTGTGTGTGTGTGTGTGTGTGTGTAAAAGGGATTTACCTCAAACAGGGAGAGAGAGAGAGAGAGAGAGAGGTCTGTAATCCGGGCGGAGGCTCTGAAAGCGCAGAGACAGCAGTCTGAGAGGAGCACCAACACACAGTCTCACAGTAACACACAGAATATACTTACTCTCATGCAGGTCTAGGAGTTCCACACGTTTCTCCATCAGTCAGCCTACAACATATTGGTCTCTACTTATAGGAGCTACAAGGAGGCTGCATGCACCGTTGCTTTCTAATTATAGCAGCTCGAGTTGCACATATAAGGTCAACTTGTGAGTAACACGCCCTGTGTGCTACTGGGGGACTTGTTGGGGGCGTTGATCCAGTAAAGGGGATAATAAATGTGGAGACTGGGAGAAAGACGAAACTATTTTTAAACATTCTTAACATTCATGTGAGAAAAGTAGGATGAGGGCAGGTCGAGTCTCTCCTTCATCCACATACCGTCAGTCCTCTCTGGTTTGGAGCTCCGCCTGGAAACTTTGCAGATTCTCCTTCCAAGTCTCAGCTTTACGCGCAGGATGACGACACATGCATGATTCAATGCGGCATGTAAAACAATTTTAGCAATACAATCTTCGGTTTTAAACGCTGACCTACAATACAGCAGTGATATACAGGCTGTGTGCCGCCATGCCCGCCCTGCTGACCGGGTCCTGAAACCGTTAACGCTCCTCCTCTTCCTCCTCCTCCTCCTCCTCCTCGGCGCGCAGATGGTATAGGCTTAAAGGAATGTATGGAGACAGAAAAGGCGCAGCAGGTCTTTTTTGTACAGTGTGGGAACATGGTCAGTCAGAGAACAATAGCCCAGCAGGAGGTCGCAGAACAGCCCAGCTTACACTGCTTTCCCCCATAAATACGATCATCAGTATAATTCATAGTGAGAAGGAAAAAAGTATTTCTAAAAGCAAGCACATTCAGTCTGATTAAAGTCAAAGTCTCAGCTTGTCATGCTCCTCCTCTAAAGTTTGTCTCCTCTCTCTTTCAACTAAAACTTCTGCAGGAACAAAACACATTTTTCACTTATGGCTCTCTGCATTGCCTCCAGCCTATTTGTTTTTGTAGAAACAGAGAAGCCTCACAGCCTTCATCCTGTTTAAGAGAGAGAAGTCTGCTCTACAGTAAACACACCTGCTGCTGCACATTGACTTCAGCTTAAGACGCAGTATTAGTCAGCTTAAGGAGCTTTGAGAGGTTTAAAGCCCCTGAAATAAAGTGGTTTTTGTATTTCTTCTGCAGGATTTATATTTTGGCTGAGTGGAAACTGATTAGACGGTCGGGCTGGTCAATTAGAGGATTTTTGAACAAGTGAATTAAAGATGTGTTTAATGAGTTTTCACAAAAGGCTTTAGAGTGCATGGTGTGGTCTTCTGAATATTTTCTACATCTTTAAAGCGCTGTCCAGCTCTTTTACTGATAGAAGTAGAACAGAAAATCAAGTTGTTCAGGAGAGCCTGGTCACACAGTCACATTTATGAAGTCTCTATTATTCAGGTCCGTAATGTTCAGACCTGATTTATAGAAGAAAGAGACATGAGTATGTGTTGAAATCCAATCCATTCAGTCAGTATTAATATATCCTTCTTGTGGTCCTGAGTGGGCTCTTTGAATAAACATGAAGACCTCTAAACAGACCGGATTGATTCAGAACATTTATTTAGAAAGAGGAAGGAGGTAATGACAAGTACAACATGTCTGCTCCAAAGCTTTTATAAACCTGCTCTGCAAAAAATAAAACATGCTTCTTTGGAGAGTCGCCATAACAACCGCCTCTTGACTAATTGGAAGTTTCAATCACTCCACACAGTGGAAATTAACAGAGTTCATCCTCATCTACTGCTGCTGCAAACCTTTACTCCCCGTGTGTGCACCGCAGACTTTCAAATTAAATCTAGATTTTTTTTTTTTTTTTTAAAGTGGAGCGTGATGAGCAGAACTTTAAAATCCTGCATCTCATTAACAGCTCCGGCACAGCACACCTGCTGTGAGATCGTTTATTATTCCAGCAAACTATAAAGTCATGAAAACACTCAAACACTTTCCTCCCTGAGATGAGCTGAGAAAATAAAATAAAAAACTCATCAATATTCAAATTCAAAACAGAAAATGATTGGTGGATAAATCACTTAAAGATGGGTGACCACTGCAGCCAGCTTGTGACTCAGAACAGCGCCCCCTACTGCTACTAACACGACATGACAAAAACACACCTGATAAAAATACTTAGAAGAGAAGACAGTTAAATGTGGCAGTACGTTGTGACTGCTGACCTTTTTTTTTCTCCAACCTGCCTCCAACTAGCTGAACACTTTTATCTTCCTTTCAACCTACAGAAACTCTGCCCCCGCCCCCGAGAGGAGCTTCCACCTTCACTCACTTGAACAGAATCCATGCAGATTAAAAAAAAGTCAAATGATTGCACGCTTGAAGCACGGTTAGAAGTGTCTTAGGCACGCCGTTCAAGCTAACACAAGTCTCTGAGGTTTGCGTCCTGGGTGAGAGGAGTGCTGTAGTCGGAGCTCCAGTCTCTCTCAAACACGGCCTTCAGCTGTGATTGGACGGTCGGCTCCTGGGACTCTGACGCCGTCTGGTTCACCACCAACGCAGATCCAGCTGTGCTCACAAAGTAGTCACCTGACCAGTTAGACGTACCTGAAGACAGAAAACGGATCGGGTTACATCTTTAGACACTTTTAGGGTGCGTGCTGTGTGTGTGTGTGTGTGTGTGTGTGTGTGTGTGTGTGAACCTCACCTATGTAAGCTATCTTGTCAGTCACCATGTACTTGTTGTGGTTCACTCGGGCGAAGGGAATCTCCTTCTGCTCGGGGCTGGCAGGCACCACAAACAGTCTCTGTGTAAAGGGAAAACAACGAGTCAGCAGATTGTCGTTTCACTGCGGGGTTTTTCATCCCGACATGTACGAGCTGTACTTCCTCCGACGTCCTACTCACCACCTGGACGTCCAGCTTGCTCTTGGGGTCGTAAACCGAGGCGAGGGATTTGAGGAAGGGAAACATGACCGGCTGCGTGCTGGCCCAGCAGCTGATCAGCAGACGCACTTTGACCCGCCTCTCGTATGCCGCTCTCCTCAGCTGAGTGTCGATGTCCGCCCAGTACCTGCAGAGGGCGCCACATGCAGCTTGTCAATCGCAGTATAACCACACAAGTAAGAAACTCTCCTACACGAGTGATCCTCTGATAAAATGATCAGAATCGGTTTGGAGAAGCTTCCTGATATTTTTAGAAACACCTGGACTCCAGTGAGTGAAAGTTAACTTTGTGAATTTTACTGAGAAACAAAACTTCAGAGGGTTTTAATCATCACACATTTCAGATAATAAACTAGGATTACAGCTGTGTTGATCTTTAAATTTGCTCCACATTTATATCAACATAAAGCTCTGTGGCACAACATGTGAACAGCTGGATGTCAGCATGAAGCTGTTCCAATAAACACAGTTAACTTCACTTTAAGTGATGAAGCTCTAATTAAGGTTTAGATCACTCTGATCAAAGGAGATAATTCAAGAATAACACAAGCCATGCTAACAGCTCCCTGAGATCTCATTTAGAAAACAGTGGAGATGCAATGATGGGCTGATATTTGAAATAACAATTTAGCCGATTACTGATTCTGATGTCTGTTTCATGACTTCTTCATCTCTAACCCTCAGGCATCAGTTTAATTTACTACCCTCTTAAGTCACTAAGGACAAAAATATCCTCTTCCAAACTGCTATAAAAATAGATATATTGAATTATAATAGAATATTGAATTACAATATTTCATAGTTTTGAGCAGGGCTGGAGTTGTTTAAGAGATTTATGCAAAAAAAAGTTGAAAAAAATATTAATCTGTTCTATTTTTATAGCTGTTTTTTGGAAGTGGACATTTTTGTCCTTAGTGACTTAAGAGGGTAGTAAAAATGTTTCACAGTGTTCTATTGGTCTATTAAAAAAATATAATTTGCATTCCAAAATGTGTCAAGAGAGAGACTTTCTTATAAAAATGTGTGCCATATGCACTAACACAGACAAAATGATGACCAGATGAAGAGGAAACTTTTGCCCAAATGGATAAAAATGGTGACGCACGAGGGCTAAGACTCCCACAATGCAACATTTTCTCTCATGTTTAAAAAGGATAACAAGTCAGAGTTTGTTTAACATGTGACTTCATCTGCCCATTAAAAAAAACCTCTTCTCTGAATCAGCAGTTAGATGCACTAAATGCCGTCATTAAATTGATTTGGCACACCTAACAAACATCGTCTACTGACATCGGTCCATGCCACATTATTTGCTGACGGTGTCAACAGCTGATACTGATGCTGGACCGATGCATCCCCAGGAAACAGTGCTGCTTTGAGATCAATCTTGAGGCCAGAATAAACATATCACCATGACTACAGTAGCAGATTTGAGCCGTCTCATTGAGTCATACTTCACAGCTGTACCTTTTAGGATGAGAGAACTCCATGGTGGGCAGGTAGTTCATGACAGCGATGTAGATGAAGCTCTCGGCGTCCTCCATCACGCTGACGATGGACTGGAGGTCTTGAGTCCGGCCGGCTGCACAGAAAGATGGAGGAGAACTCTGAGGGAGACAAAAGAGAGAAATAAAGAACAGGCGACAAATGAAGAAGAGTGACCGATTTCGATGTTCTTTACAGTCGGGCTCTTAAAACACAGAGCTCAGTCTTCTTTTGAATACAAAGGGTTCCTCATGTTAATATATCAAAGTCATAATCCCTCTCTGTATGTTTCTCACCGACAGGTAGACGCTGGACGGCGTGTCATTGAGCGGCAGCTGAAGGGGCGTGTCCTTGTTGTAAAGGGTGGAGAAGCTGTTGGGCCACGGCGACGGGATCGACTGACTGTCCCCCAAAAACCAATACGCCTCAAAGATCTTCCCGAGGTCTGCAGCCAGGCAGCTGCAGTTGTAGACGACGACGCCCAGCTCCTTCACCTGCGGCCCGGCAGAGGAAGATTTACTGATCGTCAAAGACACATTTTGAAAGCTTCCTGATTTTAAAGTAACAGGATATACACAACATATCCTTTGTGGGATATACTTTGTGAATGTTCTGCCATCACTTTTTCTCCATCGTTACAGCAGATCAAAGCTTTTCCTCACATGACGCACAAGCATCTGAACCAGGTTAGCATGTGACTCTGAATCTGAGCCAACACAAGAACGTCTTTAAAGCAGAAGGAAATGAGTTCTGCTTGGATCAGGAACCACAGAAAGTTTAAGTCAGCAGAAAGTGTCTGCAACTCTTTATTTCATGTGTGTGTGTGTGTGTGTGTGTGTGTGTGTGTGTGTACCTGTGTGAGGGACCTCCAGTCCATGTTGGCGCTGCCGATGTAAATGTGTTTCTTGTCCACAACCCAGAACTTGGTGTGCAGGACGCCTGAGGTGAGTTTCTTCATGTTGACCGTCCTTATGTTGGCTCCTGAAACACAAACATGCATCACGTATAGAAACTCATAAACAGGAAACATGCACAAAATGTTGATATTAAAATAATGCCTGGTCTCAGTAAGCAAACAAAGCAGGCTCAGATTAGTGCAGACATCAGATACGTCAGTGTGACACTTGCTGCTATAAAGTACATTTCATTTAGTTTCTTTTATTTGTTCCGTACATGTCAAAACACACAACAGAAAAAAAAACAGAAAAAACGATTCACACTTTATCTCATGTAGGGAAAGGAGCAGTGAGAAGAATAAATCTCGTTTTGCCAGCCCCCTTACTCAAAAAGAAAACAATAAATGTCTGGATGGTCTGTCCAAATTACAATCAGTGAATGAATATCACGCCAACATAAAACAAATCTGACAATTCAGTCTTCACTTCCTCAGAAATGAGAAGGAAAACACCCAAAACACACTAACTGCCACTTTCATACAGTCTGATAACTTTGTTCTTAAACTGAAATATCTGAACACAACCCTTCAAATCATTCTTTAAAGAATTCCACAATTTAATTCCAGTTACAGAAATACACTTCTGTTTTAAAGTTGTCCTCGCAACCTGATGCTTCAAATGAAAATGTTCTTCTATGCTCTTCATCTCCTGAGCTAAAAACAAACATGCAGTCAGAGTCACCTGAGTCGTTGAGCAGTCGGAGGTTGTCCTGCGGTTGACTCTGCTGTGGAGTGTTGACAGCGATGCGAACAGAAATCTTTCCTGAGAGTTCGCTGAGTTTCTTCAGAACTGTCTCACCCTGTCAACGCGGCCAGAACAGGAGTTCATTTAATTTAAGAAGATAAAATGATTCACTGAGAAAGCGTGACCACTCATCCTTAGAGTCTATCTTTGGATCAAGTAAAAAGCTCCTGACCTGATAGGCTGTGGGCTCCTGCGTGCCGGTGTCTTTGTTAGTGAGCGTCCAGTAGAAGGAGGCGATGTCGAGGCTGCTGCGAGCCTCAGACATCAGGTTGGTCCAGGCCTGGAAGATGGAGGGGTGAGTGGTGCTGGAGTTAAACTCCAGACCCTCGGGGATGCTCTCCACCAGAACGATGCTGACAGGACGAGGAGGGAGAAGAATCTAAACTCTTTTTGTTTTGTACGTTTGAAAAGCTGGAAAGAAGAGAGACGTTTGTAAGGGGGTTTCTTACTTGCAGGGGTCGGAGCAGGACTCTCTCTGGGACAGGTGGAGGCTGCTGCTCGGGGCAGGGTGCGGGGAGGAAACCCTCGGTGTGAGGAGGTTGTAGAGGGCCATGGCGGCCAGCAGCACGGTGGCCACAGAGGCCAGAGCTATCACACACCTGGAGTACTGGAAGAGGGGGAAACACACAAAAATATTATCAAGGTTCCCCAATAATCACCTCGTACAGCAGTGATGGATTCAGTCCTGTTATTATTATTATACATGTTTGTTATGTTCAAAGTCAACACATGGTCTTCTTCTTCATCTGTAACGTACCAACACGGCCTTCCTGTTGGACGCTTGTCTCCTCCTCTCCACATCCACCAGCTGTGGACAAAAAGAAGAAACTTTCACACATTTCCCTCTGAGGGCAGTTTGTGTTTAGAGTTCTGAACATGTAACACAGAGTCTGAACATTTCTACAACTTTGATATTTCGCTTCCAAAACTCCAGAGTGCGCCTTTAAGAACAGCAGAGTTAGAGCGACAATAAGGCGTCTTTTAGTTTATTTATCGCAGTATTGAAAAATGTTATCACACGTTGCACATGTTTCTTCATCTCCTGCAGAAGTGATAATAAAAGAAATGTTTGAAATGAGGATGTAAGTTGAGACGGCTGTCAGACATAGAGACAAAAGGAAAATCCCCCGTTCAGATCCGAGGAACGAGCTCCGTGAGGCGATGAAAAACAATATTTAGTGACAACAATGTTTATGTTTTAAGTTCCTGAGTTATGCTTATGTTGTTCACACAGTCTGAATATTAGAATCACTGATAAATCAATCTGTAGCCTACATGTTTCTGTCATTAATAAAATCATTCTGTGTTAAAAATGACTTTTTTTAAATCTTTATTTTGTTCTAACAGATGATCAGTTTGTACATAAATCCTCATCAGAGAGAAGCTTTAACAAGTTCAATGTTGATGTTTAAACAAACAATAAAACACAGCCACAACTGGAAACGATTCACACTGATTTTATAGAACTGTAAACATAGAAGCTGAAACATGTCGTACCTGGTTGTAAGGGATGTCCGTCTTCATTTTCAAAGACAAACTAACATCCGATGTGGGAGCTGGGATCAGATGATGCTCTTTGCGGCTCTGAGACCAAAAGAAGAGAAGAAGAAGACAAACAGTGACTTCATGTCTCGATCACAGCAGCAGGTCAAACTTACATTACATTATTATTATTCATTACAGACGGGTTGTAGCATCGCCCGCAGGTGTAGCCGTCAGCGGATGTAATGATTTAAATAAATGTATCAAGTGGAATTTATTCTTTTTAAGGAAAAAATGTAAAAAAGTAAACAAGTTTCTCTCTTTGAAAAGACAAACGTGTTTCATTAGACTCAAAGTAGCGTCAAAGCCATGAAACAACGTCGTGTTTTCAAAAGGCATTGTCCCTCCTCAGCACACACACACACACACACACACACACACACACACACACCTTTACAGAGTCAACAAAGAGAAGGTGCTCGATGTTTTCAAAGAATAACCTGCGCAGCTCATAACACAAAGACACACACGGCTCCAGCTGCTGACATGTCTACAGGGCCAAAAAAAAAAAAAACGTATTGACTGGATCCTGAGGTCTCGTGATTTATGAGATTTGATTGCTTAAAGAAAGAGAGAGGAAGTGTGGACTCTGAATCGCTGACAGTATCAGTCTGAGTCGGTAAAGCTCATCGGAGGTCACAAGAGTCCTGGTCTCCCCCACAGAAACATGTGACTCATTACGGCGGCTGCATCTGTTCTACGGGACAGTTCAATGTGGAGGGTTTTGGTTTCTCACAGAGGAAAAGTCATGCGCATGGATGGAACAAATGACAACATACTGTGTCTCAAAACTGATATCAAAAGTGAAATGAATCCTAGTGGAGCTATCACTGCCCTCATGTAACGAGAAAGAGGAAATCAGAGAGCCGTCCTTTCAGCTTCTCTGTGAGATACTGAGAGTCAAACTGTGTTTTTACACTGAAGATGATATCAGGAAAAGTCCATTTGATGTCCGACAGCGTGCAGATCTAGAACTGAAATGAAACGGCTACAATGCACAATAAATGAAAACACTCACGACACACAGATGATCTTGTGCTTCCTCTGTTTCTCTAATAAGATTTGCTGCTCCTCCGCACAGACAAACAAACCGTCTTTGTCCTCAGCTCAGAGCTGTCCTTTCTGCACCAGTCAGACATTAAACTTCTGACAGACTTTGCAAAAGAAGCCAAAAAGTTGACTTTGAATGCTTTACCACCGCAAAACCTCAAATCTTTCAAAGTGTATCCGTATTTCGTAAAAATATTTCCATGTAGTCTTCTGAGCGGGCGGCCTGGGTTCGAATCTGACCTGTGGCTCCTTTCCTCCTTTCCTTTATCCACTGTCCTATCTCTCCAATAAAGACACAAAATGCCCCAAAATAATAATAAATATATATATATTTATATTTCATCAGGGTGCAGGTAGACTAGTGGTTATGTTGCACGCCCAATGTACAGAGGCCATATTCCCGTCACAGCGCCTCGGGTTTGAATCCGATCTCTGCCCTTTGCTGCATGACACCCTCCACTCTCTCTCTCTTCAGCTGTCCGATCTAATAAAGGCAAAATGGCCCTGAATATATATATATTTTTAAACTTCCACTTTACATAAGTCACATTCAGCTGACATGTCAAGATAAACATTTTATTTCAATGAGGGGACATTGCTCAGGCTTGAATTAAGATGAAATGTTCATTTTTCCAGATTTGCTCTGCACAGGAGGAGATTTCCCTCATTACAAGATCAGGCTTTACATTTGACTTGTTATATCTTGAAATAAGATGTTTTTATGGACTTATATGAAGTTTCACGACATATTTTTGACTAAAAATCAGACAAACACACTTTGAAAGATTTCAGTTTTTTGCAGTGGTGTGGCATTCAAAGTAAACAAAACAAATACTTCGCTTCTTTTGCAAAGTGCGTCAGATGTTTAATGTCTGACTGGTGCAGAGACAACAGACAAAGAAGGTTTGTTTATCTGTGGAGGAGCAGCAGCTCTGATTAGAGAGGAACAAGTGACTCAAGAGTCGTGGAAGATTACTCAATTCTTAAATTACCCAATCATCTGAGAAAAAGGTAGAAAAAACAGAGTAGAGTAGATCAAAACAAAGTTAACAATATAAACATTTGGTGTGTAACAAACAAGGCCAACAAGGCGGTAAATAGAAAACAGCAAACTCATACCTGACTGATATCTTTCCCATTTCACAGAATCATTATTCACATTAATGCATCGCTGCTTTACTTTGTGTTTACTGGGCGATGAAGACAAAATCATCTCTTCATCTTCATCACTGTTTTAACAAAAACAACAAAAACAACACACTTTAGCTGCGACGAAACAAGCCACCCACCTGTTAACAAAACGCCGAGGTTATTTAAATCCAGCATATATCACCGTCGACGACTATTCCTTACATTTAGCGTCGTTTCTTTTTTGTTAAATTCACCAAAAGACAGCGAAGAAGGCCATTTACGACTGTTAAAAACACCAACAGTCCACAGACGGGACAGAGGGAGTACAGCTGGTCATGTGATCAGAGCTGGGCAGCCAATTGGAAGGGAGCTTTTCGTGTGACGTAGCAGAGGCGAGTTACAGTAGTGCAGTTCTCGGTTGTGACCACAGGAGGGCGCTGCTGACTCACGATATGGCAGAGAGACTCCAAACGGCGCTGTTTGAAAGTTTGAACCCGCGAAGAGAGAGTGCATTTTTAAATCAGACTATTAAATCGAATTAATGTGTTGCTAAACGTGCCCAAAGTTGATTTGACGTCGTTTCAGAACAGTTAAACGATATTTATTTGAAATGTTAATTAATATAATTATCCTAGGAGTCGTCCTGTAAGCAGAGTCGTGTGCTTACCTGACCCCTTTCCTTACTTCCGGTTCAAATTAACCCGGGTTTTCTCCAGATAAGAGGAGCAAAACACTGAAAGATTAATTATTTGGCAACTGCAATTAAAAAAAAAAAAAAATTACCAAAAGGTTGTCAATAGAAGGTTCCCCTAAAAGTTATGATCTGTCATTAATCACAGAGAAGCAGGTTATAGGCCTACATGTAGGTCTACCTGTCTGATATTTACCTAAGTAGCAGCCGACCTCCTCCTTACTTTCCCTGAGCTGCTTTGTGGACATAAAGACCTCATTACCCACTGAGTCAATGCATGATATTGTGCCTGTAGCTGAGGTGGGGCCTTCACTATCACCGTATTTATCTAATAATCCACTGTATTGCCCAATCTGTGTGGAAACAGATAACCAATATTTTGAGGAGTTTGTTTGTGTGCATGTGTGACACTTAGAGTGTGGTGCTTTCTGTCACATAGACTTACAAAATCATGAATTTGCTTGTTGGTCGCTCAATCTTAAATGCAAGCCAAAAATATTGCGCTAATGCAACTTCAACTATTTTCATCGGCTTCGAGTGCTTCATGAGTTATCATCAGTTTCTCTGATCCTGAGCATCACATAGCAACACATCATTCGGTTTAAAGTTTAAACTCATCTTTATTCACTGGAGGTAAAAAGCTCTTGCTGAGTTGACAATTTAACATGTCCATTTGCTTACCTGCATCTAGAATATTCTCCCTTAATGCCACCTAATGTCTACATGATTATGATAAATTAAAGTCTTTTTATTCAAATTCTGCTGAGGTTTAAGAGTTGAACGGTTATAAATCCCCTACTGTCGACCGTCTTAAGTCCGGCTCTATACTTACTTTCAATCAATGTGTTGCATTTAGAGTTCACAATTGTCACAGATGTTTTTCTTTCTTTCAGCTGCTATTAAACCTCCTTCACTTATTTATCACCTGCTGACATGACGGGCGAGGCGAGGTGTTTGCACAGCTCCATATGAAGAGGTAAGAAACACCAAATACATGAAGAAGAAAACCGAGTCTCAGTGTTTGATTTTAGGATGACACTGATATCAATCTTTACTCAGGACATGACGGCCAGTTGATTTTCTCAACTGTATGGTTGTCCTCTGTAGTATATTAATTGATGTATATTGATCATATTTGTCTTTACTATGCGGAGCTGTCCTTATGATGCATCATGGCAAACCATCGCTTGTTATCATCTTGCATAATGAAGCAAGTTTCTGAACCATGTTTTAGCATGTGGCATCATGATCAGTATCAGGTTGTTGAAGAAGTGTGTTCAGATTAAAAATAAAATCAATGACTGAGTCCGATCACAGCCTGATGTTGGAGACAATCTGAATGAATCATCATGGTTTGTATTGTGGAGCATCGTGCGCTCATGTTATTTACACTTTTTTTAGCATGCTGGATGTTCTTAGACGGGAGAATCTGCCATGAGATGCTTGATGTTTGTGCGTCTGAACATGTGGCGGCTGTTTGTTAGCACGGACGTCTTTTAGCTGAAAAATAGTTGCCTCATTGATTTCCTGTTTGCTCGGTGGAAATGCACTTCCTTACATATCTCATTGTTTTCATGCGGTCCATGTTTGTCTCTCAGAATTGAAATATAAAACAGCAGCTCATCTTTAATTCTTCTGTGGAGCTGTTTGTTTGTTTGTTTGTTTGTTTGTTGAGTGTTTGTTTCTCTGGAAGCTCGACAGTTTTGGGGCAATGAGCATTCAACAGAGACGAGAGGAGTCATCCGGCATTTCTAAAGACAAGCAGTTAGTTGTTATTAAATGTTTTCACCTTTAAGAAAATGCTAAATCAGCTCAAACTCACATTGAGCAGTGGTCTTTTTTAAGATGTGTACTTGAGTAAAACAACTATTTTGTTTTTGTGAATGGAACAATCACTGGAATCAAAGAAAGTCATCATGAAGGTGAACCTATAGCACATATTTCTCAGGTGATATCTTGGTATACGCCCTGCAGGAGACCTTGACATGGAAACTTTTATCAGACGTTGGAGCTCTGTGTACAATATCTCTTATTTGCTTCTTTTTTTTTAAAATATCTTTGTTATTTATCGTCATGTCTGTAACACAATGTAATGACCAAACCTTCATTCTTATAATAACGTCATTTTATCACAGATTTTAGACAACTTTTTAAATTTCACCAACTCAAACTGCAACAGGTATGTAGGGTTTACGTCAGCAGGGGGCGCCACAATGCAAGGGCAGACTTCAGGACGCGTAAAGGTTTTTTTCAGACATAAAGTGATGGTTGGAAACAGAGACAACAGAGAGGATGTTAAAGGGCAGAAGAGAGACAGCGTTTCCTCTCAGTGCAGACGGACTGAGAAAACCTTTAAAAACAGCAGAATGCTCCTTTATCAACAGTGAGCTGGAGGTTCATGTTTCCCTTTTGTCAGAGGGGAAACCTGCAGCTTGATAAGAACGGAGTCAGACTTGAAGAATTCTATAGATGTATGATATATAAACACACACACACACACTTATGTTTTCATTCTGGAGAGAGGTTGGCACAGTGTGACTATTGATGAGGATATTTTTAAGTGTGTTTATTTACACTCTCGAAGTGTGTGCCATGTGTATTGGGCTCATGTAACCATGGAGACGGAGCCGGCATATCCCAGACAGTTTTATTTTTTTACAACAGCCGAGGCCGAGTTATGGCGAGGTTATAAAAAGCTGACGTGCTTCACTTCCTCAGTACAGATCGCCCCAGTCCTCCACGAGTTAATGATGCTTCTTGTTCACGGCTTTTGTAGGAATAAAGAACATTAATAGTTCATTTATTTTGTTGTTGTTAATCACGTCCTCACAAAAAGTGATGTTTATTTTGATAAAAAGGAACCGCTGTCTCTCTGTTTACGAGGGCAGAACTGGTTTGTTTTTAAAGTGTAATCATAAATGTATTTTAACAGTTTACTCTGAAAGATGACTCATTACTTTCTGAGATGAGTAAGCATCTAACATGAGTCGCTTTATTACTTTCATCATCCTCCGCTCTTAGCTCTTACACCACACATTACACACTCCTCCACCTGTGACTGAATGCCAAAATCTACTTCTTTATTTTCTCTTTGATCTACTTCCTGAAGTGTACAGAGTTAACAGTTACTTCAGAGGGAGTTTTTTCCTCCTCGACGTCCTGCTGAAGGTGTGTTTGTGTCCCTGATGAGTCACCGAGCGGACACCTGGACTCACCTGAGCCTCCAACAACACTTCCTGTTTCTTATTTATTTTTTATCACAGTGTAGTTCTGCTTATGACTAGGATTCAGAGGGTCATTGAATCCGGTGTGTTCTGCCTCTTAATGAAAGTGCAATGATCTTATCAGAGTTTTTTTTGGGTCAGAATCCAAACATGCTTCAGTGCATGTTGGCCCAAATACTTGGAAGCCACTGCTGAAAAATAGAAAACAAATAATGTCGGGTACAGTGCCTTCCAGATAACTTCACTGGAGGGTCTGAAGTCAACCACACTACATCTGAACAAATGATTCCATGCAGTACTCGTCAACACCTGCTTGTGAAATGTGATGGATAATACAAGTCAACTGCTCAGCTGCTGCTTCTGTTCTCTCTTTGACTTCAGTGAAAAGTACCTCTCGTGTTGCAGTCTGCTGTTTATGGCTGTTTGGGCCATAAAGACTCTGACATCACCGAGGCTGACTGGAACAAAGGCCCGACAGTTTCAGAGAAGCTTTGTTATTGACGCTGAACACACGCTCGTAATCCTTATGAAATCAAGTGTCACACTTTTTCACCCGTCGACTGCCGTCTTTATTTATTTGATCTTATTAGAAAATGTGATATAATGAGATAATCATCAAAGTAACACTCAGGCTGATTGGTAATATCCTCTTCCACCTGATACATTCAGGTAATCCATCTATCGACTTAACAACATGTTTTTATTAATTTCTGCAAAGTGTTCATATTCCTTCATGTATCAGTGAGTTCATTCACAGAAAAGTGCCAGATATGTTTAAGAAAGAGAGACAAAGACAACTTGAGCTGCTGCTTCGCTCTCTCTCGTTTATTATTTTCAAGCGAAACATTTCTGATGGATTATGACATCAGAAATCTGTTTAATTAAAAATGTTCAATGTATTCAGTTAGAATGATTCAGGATTTGTTCTGCTGGTGGAAACTTTCAGATAACGTGGACCTCATTTTATAAGCTAAAGGATGCATTGATTAATCAACTGGATTATTTTAACTGTCCTGTCCAATAATAATTATTCACCTTTTCTTTTTTCCCTGTTCTTTGGGAGCCTCTGCTGTAAATCAGTCTGAAGGAACATCAGCGTCTGGGTATTTTATATTAAGACAAATATTATAATATTATATTCAAATAGAGGTATCTACAGTAAGGACACACACACACAGTTTTGTACTTGATGTTCTGACCTGCCTCTCGTTCTCCTGCTCTGCACTCGGCTTCATTATTCATTCACTATCGATCTTTTGTTCTCCTGCAGGCTCTCTGTTCCCCGCTCAGTGTCTCTCTCTCTCTCTCTCTCTCTCTCTCTCTGAGTCACACACACACATGCACGCCCACGCATGCACAGCTTCCAGGATCTTAGCAAAGCCAGTCGTCTGTGCAGTTATAGGATGTA